CTGTGTGTATGTCTGTGGGTGCTGGATGTCTGTGGCGCTGGTCTGTGGGTGCTGGTGCTGTATGTCTGTGGGTGCTGTATGTCCGTGGGTGCTGTATGTCTGTGGGTGCTGAATGTGTGTGGGTGCTTTGTATGTCTGTGGGTGCTGAATGTGTGTGGGTGCTGTATGTGTGGGTGCTGTATGGGTGTGGGTACTGTGTATGTCTGTGGGTGCTGTATGTCTGTGGGTGCTGTATGTCTGTGGGTGCTGTATGTCTGTGGGTGCTGTGTATGGGTGCTGTGTATGTCTGTGGGTGCTGAATGTGTGTGGGTGCTGTGTATGTCTGTGGGTGCTGAATGTGTGTGGGTGCTGAATGTGTGTTGTATGTGTGTGGGTGGGTGATTGTGGGGTGGAAGTGGGGGTACATTATTTGGTATCCCCCCTCCCTTCTTACCTTTTGTAGGGAGGGGGGATCGTGCTGCTGCTTCCTTCCCTGGTGGTCCAGTGGAGGAGGGGATCCTTGCTGCTGTGATCCCTGGTGGTCCAGTGGAGAGTGAACTCTAGCCCCCTGTGGCGCTAGAGTTCACTCTCGCGAGATTTGAGCATTGCCGTGGCAACGCTCATATCTCGCGAGAGGAACCCGGCGGAGCTGCCGGTGTTCTATCAGTCTGGTATACTCCGTCAGATTGCTATACCCACGTCACTTCCGGGGAGGGGAATCAGCTGTCTCCTGTGCTGCACATGCGTGCTAGCACTCCTGCTACTACTCCACAGCAAGGTCCTGGAAGGTAAGTAAAACTAGTTTTACACTTTCATTATAGTTAGTGCATTCACTAAGCTTAGGCACACGGGACATTTAGGGTTAAGTGAGGGTACAAATTAGGGTTAGGTAAGTGCTTCTAACCTCTCTCACACTCTATTCTTACCCTAACCCTTGGGGTAAGGGTGAAAATAAAGTGTGAGAAAGCACTATTTAGTGATATTCCCCTAATGTGAAATATCACTAAATAGGAACAAGTCCCTAATCCTAACCCTAATTTGAACCCTAACATTAACCCTAAATGTCCCATGTTCTAAGCTTAGTGAATGCACTAACTATAATGAAAGTGTAAAAGTAGTTTTACTTACCTTCCAGGACCTTGCTGTGGAGGAGTAGCAGGAGTGCTAGCACGCATGTGCAGCACAGGAGACAGCTGATTCCCCTCCCCGGAAGTGACGTGGGTATAGCAATCTGACGGGGTATACCAAACTGATAGAACACCGGCAATAGCTCCGCCGGTCCTCTCCTGCCTCCCTCCCTGCATGTGGGTCAGTGGGGAGGGAGGCTGAGAGCAGAGCCGGCGCTCGGATAGCGCCGGCTCTGCATGAGCCGACAGGGGAGATCCTGAGATCTCCCCTGCCGGTCTCAATACACATAGGCGTGCCGCGGGGATTAGGGTGTGCCCAGGCACACCCGGCACACCCCGTGCGCACGCCTATGCTGTGTGTTACGTGTTTTATTGGTTATTTTACAAAACCCTGTAGGGGGTACTGTATCTGTAAAACCTGCATAAAAGAAGGACCTTTGGTGCCAAGTAAAACAGATCTTCTTGACCCTCAACACGTAGTCTTGTCTTGTGATTGGAGGGGACAGCTATATTAACACTGGGGATTGCTATGCTCTTCATACTCCCTTGAGCTTTAAATCACCCAGCTCTTCTAAGAGCTGTTCCTGATACGCTCTCCTGGAGGAGAGGTCTTCCACACACAGTCCTGGATGCTGGAGGTTCATACAGGGTGGAAGGAAGAGGTCTTTCCCACACGGTCCTAGAGGACAGAAGCTGATCCAGGGTGGAAGGAAGACGGTGAGACTCCAGTTAAGCTACAGAGGTTGTGGAGTCTGCGGTGGTTGTGGTGTGCGGTGCTTGTGGTCCTTGGCGCAAGCTATGAAGCGTCAATCAACTGAAGGTACTCGGTCGGAGTACGGGGAGTTCCATTACATAGTGCTTATATAAAATGTAAAGTTTATGAGTAATATCTCTAAAATATATGTAATAGTAGAAGCTAAATACCAAAAAGTGCCACTTCTCCACAAACACCAACAAGATACAAAAAATACAACAGTGTAGCACTATAAATACACAAAATTACCTTAAAAACAATAGCTTTGATGCTTTTTAATGGAGTTATTATTTCATGGACCCAGAAATACAAATAGTACCACAAAGTGCAGCTTATAAGTAAATAAAATGTGATAAAAATAGGGCTTATAAATAAAGCACTCACAAACAAGGAGCTATAAGACCTAGCTCCGGTGTGGATGGCTTCTGGGTCGGTTTAGGCGACCCACCTCTATATAGAATGTATGTTCCGTCCTGGGGAAAAGTATATAAGCACACAATAGGCTAGTACAGTAAGGTGCAAGATAATCAAAATAAGTGCCAACTTAGTACTTACAAACACAGAGCTTCTGTGGCTCTATAGTAGCGTATTGTGTAGGTATAGGGCTACACTCCCCCTTTAAGTAGATGTCTCATAAACGCCGGGAACCAAAGTAAAAGTTTGCATACATTTATTGAAACATGTAATAAAATACGTAAATGAAATGGGGAACAATGTCCATAAAAGTACCAGTACGCGTTTCACCTCTTGATGTGCTTCCTCCATCGGATAAATATTGTGAAGATCCTTGGTTCTCCGGCTTCTGTTTATATACCCTCCTAATTAAGGAATGATCTTTGTCTCTGACTGTTACGTAGTTACCATATGAGGTAGTACGTAACCTATCTCTATGGTAATGTATCAAACATCCCAGTGGACACACTCACCTGGAGCTCAGTCAGGTGGAAATTGTCCTGCAATGTGGCGTTACTTCCCTAAATTTCCAAGCCTCTTTCTCAAGATGTGACGTCAGCGGTATTTTCATCTTACGTGATTTTCTAAACGATCTAATAGTCACTGATTGTTCTGTAGTTCTTCCAACAATATTGTTATCGTTTGTTCAGACGTAAACTTTATGATGTGAGTCTCTCCAATACAATCCAATAAATAGACCCACAAGGATCCCTCCTCGGTGAACAGACATTAAGAATGAGAAGGGGTACAACAATATAGAGAAGGGATAATTCATATCGCGTATCTATAGGTTACTGTATATCACATACCTAAAATAATCAATCGCACTGGCATTATTACATACGTGATAAATCACCCACAGTGCAAAACTATAGGGAAAATAAGAGCCCTTTAATGATGACTCTAACAGTTATAATATAAATTATACCATTTCAAATAATAGCTCTTTCCCCACACAAATAAATTTAAACTTTGCATGAAAGTTAAATTGAAAAATATAGAAAATCAGTTTAAAATGAAAGAAGAATTATATGGAATGAGAAACAAAGAGGACTTTTTAATATAAATGAGAACTCCTAAATATTCACTTAAAACTTAAATATATAATTCCTGGGTATCAAATAAATTGTTAAAAATATAAATATGTAAAAATATTGTATGTGTATATAGGGGTGCACTGTGTGTATCGGGGTACAGTGTATGTGTATATAGGGGTGCACTGTGTGTATCGGGGTACAGTATATGTGTATATAGGGGTGCACTGTGTGTATCGGGGTATAGTGTATGTGTATATAGGGGGTGCACTGTGTGTATCGGGGTATAGTGTATGTGTATATAGGGGTGCACTGTGTGTATCGGGGTATAGTGTATGTGTATATAGGGGGTGCACTGTGTGTATCGGGGTATAGTGTATGTGTATATAGGGGGTGCACTGTGTGTATCGCGGTATAGTGTATGTGTATATAGGGGTGCACTGTGTGTATCGGGGTATAGTGTATGTGTATATAGAGGGTGCACTGTGTGTATCAGGGTATAGTGTATGTGTGTATAGGGGTGCACTGTGTGTATCGGGGTATAGTGTATGTGTATATAGGGGTGCACTGTGTGTATCGGGGTATAGTGTATGTGTATATAGGGGGTGCACTGTGTGTATTGGGGTATAGTGTATGTGTATATGGGGGGTGCACTGTGTGTATCAGGGTATAGTGTATGTGTATATAGGGGGTGCACTGTGTGTATTGGGGTATAGTGTATGTGTATATAGGGGTGCACTGTGTGTATCGTGGTATAGGGTATGTATATATAGAGGGTGCACTGTATGAACCAGGGAATAGTTGTGACAAATGCTCATTCCCACCATCTCCTGATGAAGTATGGAAGCTGGCTTCCTGCCCACCGACAATGGTCCAGGTCTAAGATCACGTTCGGGAGTTACCCTGCCCAGCCACCATTAGCAGCTTTCCCTGGGTGCCCCTCGTTCGGCACCTTCCCTTCATGTGAATCGAACCGAACGTTTTGTTCCTGGTGGCTGTTCACATGAACCAAACCCATAATTGGTCCTCAGCGGTACTTAGCCATGATCACTATGGAACTAATTTCTGCATGAGGACTTTGTGGGTCCCTGGTCAACTCAGCGGTACTTAGCAACAAATTTTATGGAACTGTGTTCGGCATGAGGTGACCACTTGGTCTGGGGTTTTGAAGCACTTTGCAACCGCCAGGAGAGCGCTTTTTTGGAGGGAAAGTGTCTGAGACTAAGGCGAACAAATTCTATGTGAGAGCCAGGTGGAGCACCCCGTATTTTGGATGCAGGAGCTTCCAAAAGTTGGCCAGCAAAAGCACCAAACGCCCTAGGATAGATATGTGCGGCAGGTCAGAACTTTGACAAAGTGGCGTTTCCCCTACACTGTATGGGTCTGAGTGCTATTTGGACAATTTGGGTACTCAGATCAGGGCTATTTTGAAATGTATAATATGTGGGATAATTGTATGTTTTTATTATGTTTTGGGGTATGTGACGGACCGCCTTGCACCCCGACCGGGTACCTCTGCCAATTGCTGCTTCCTAGTAATCCTTGAGTACCATTACCACCATAAACCACACAAACTGCCGCAGCTTGGTTGGGGTCTCGCTGTCCTCTACCCACCCTGGGCCTAGGACCAGGCTCCAGCTTCCAGTGGGTAGACCTCTAGTAGTCCAGAGAGCAAAGCAGGCTGCACTTAAAAGAGCAAGTGTTGCAATCCAAGGGAGTAAAGTGATTATAGCAATCCCCAGAGTGATAATAGCTCTCCAATTCCCCAAACATGAGCCATGACTTCATGAAGGGGTAAAGCGTTCTGTTTAATGGAAGCCACACACGGCCTTTTATGTCAGGGCATTCCCCACTAGAGAGTAGACTTCAGCAAAAATATACACATGATTACATTGGCTCTTACGTCCAGGACACTCCCACATAAAACAAGATAATCCCTTCTCTGTGCCTGGTAGATAATTGAGTCAGTACTAAACTCAATTATCTCCAGGCACAGAAAACTCACATTTTACAACCTCCCGAAAGTACCCCCAGAACACATGAAAACCCCCCCAACAGTCACATCCCCTGATAGCCCCAATTTGGGGGACCAACATATTCAAAAATCACCCAGATCGGTTCTGGGGTTCTGGATTTCCATGGAGGTCATAATTTGACCAACCGTACACAAGGCTCTTGTTCAAAAGAGTTCCATGAAATCAGGCTGTGCGGTTGGTCTCTTTCGGGAGTACAAAACACAACAATATAATAAACAGAATTGTTCGTACGTGTGCTTGCCTTGTGTCCCTCGTTCAGGAGTTTGCTCCCACCAAACGCCACTCTTCTCATACGAATGCCACTGAAAATACGTAGAGGTGGAATCCCAGCGGTGTTCGCACTGTCCAATTTGGGTTCCATGCACTCGACGACCAAACACTGCTATACGTGTTCGTGGGAACAAGATGGATGCCACCTCGTGTTCGTCCATATGAATGGCAACCACCCAGCCAATCATTTAGAATGTTGCAGTTAACAAGGTCAATAAGGTTAATAAGCGGCACACGTCTCCCACAGGTGGTCCAAGAGTTCGGGAGTTGGTTCGGTATACAAACAGAATGCTCCTGATCCATTTGGTAAGTCCTATATACCGAATCAGACAAGGGAAAAGGCATGAACAAAGCCTTTCCACAGTCTAACACCTGGGCCATAGTCCTGAGGTAATAGGCTGGCCAGCAGGCCCCTCCAAGCACCAGTGACGAGGTTCAGTTTGTCACAGGGTACTTTTGTGTTATATGTTGGGCTCTCTGTTCTTGGGAGATAATTAGCTTACCTGTATTTAACTGAAAAACTTTTGACTCGTGTTTCTACCCAGATAGGCTTGTGGAATTTGGTAAATATACCTGTTTAGTTGTTTAGCCTATGTGGTCACTATTATATATTATATATTGTATGTATTTTCTACACTTGTATTGCAATAAATATATATGTATAGATAGATACTAGTGTATCAGTTGGTGTGCATTCCTTGTTTTTTGAATACAATGGAGACCCCATGCTGGGTTATGTGCATAAAAGACCAGGTTTTTCTCATTAAAATCAGTTACTGGGAGGGAAAAGGGCTAATCACTGCTCAGCACCTTGTTCCAGCTCATGGAGGATTCGGCAGGGAAAGTCCTTGTAAGGACTATAGTTCCCAGGACTGTGTGTTGTCCAGTCAGTCCCTGGGAGGGAATAGAGCTGGTCCCCTATCCTGTTCCAAGATGGAGAGACTTCAGGAGTACCCCAGTCAAGCCACAGTGACTGGGGCTGAAGCTCTGAGGCTTTCTCCGGTTCCAGCTAGGAAGCTGTAGCGGAACACCTGGTAACCCGACCGGTTACCTCTGCTATTTCTCTTCCTTCAGATGAACAGGAACCATTTAGGATATAAAGAGAACCATTCTCTCCCACCCCCTCAGTAACTGGACGACACACAGTTCTGTCGGTACAATAACACTTTATTGGCCACACACGGCTTTTAAGCATAACCCCATGCAAGGGGTGTAACACACAGCATACAATAGGTAAAAATAAAGGACAGAAAGGCGCTTTCAAGATAAACAGTCTGCTGCAGCTAAAACTACCCAAGTGTAATGTCTCTCTTTCCACTTAAACATGTGATAAAATTGGAAAAAAAGATATTGTGATTTGCGCACACAGAAAAATATATTTTGGTTTACCTTACGCTCAATGTTTCTTTGGTAACCAATACACATAAATTTCTTTCACCTATATTTAATAAATTAAAAAACACACATAGTGTAATCTGTATATGTGAGAGTATATATAGATATATATATATATATATATATATATATATAAAATTATTTCTTAAAACTCAAAATTTTTAGAGCCCATTAAAAGTTGACTCGGTACTTATGGCACTTTTCATCTCATAAGAGAGAGATGTGATGGAATTTCCAAAGATCACCCTCAGGAACTCTGCACTGCTGCAACACAGGAACTCCACAGTCCAGGGTAAGTATTAAAAGGTATATATTTATTAACAACCTATTAAAACAAATAAAATTAGCACAACACGTTTCAACCTATCAGAAGGTCTTCCTCAGGTACATGTATTTCTCCAACTGAACAAGTATGGCTATATATATGCCAAGAAATAAGACAGACAATTAAACAATTCAAAACATATGTTTGTAATACCACCCACAACCAAATATGGTCAGGACCGGATGTATGCCGCCATCCCCAACACAGAGGTACATCCTGTCCTGAGCATTGTATCCATTCCCACCCCAAGATGTCTGCAATGTTCATACAGCCTCTTTCTCTCTTTCCAAATTGGTCCATCATTTCGTCACTTCCTGTGACGACTGCGCATTGATCTTCACATCTTCCAGTCAATATCTTCCCGATACGTCAC